ATTACCAGCTCTTTTTCCTATTCCATCCAGGCACAGAACCCATCTAAATTATTGGCAATGCAGGAGTTAATCCAGTGTCGCACAGTGGGGACAATTTTTACTGCAGAGGCAAATGCAGAAAGTAACGGCTATTGATTAATTTATGTAGTCCAGGGTTTCAGTAATGTCTCCTTCTTTTACCCCTTTTCCAGGTAGGTCCAAAAAGGGAACATAGGCAAATATTGCATACAAGAAAGATAATATCAGATACTTAAGAATGCAATTCATTTAATCCATTGGTGAAAAGAAGTCTCATCTAAGTAGTGGATTTTTGGATTACAGTTTCATGAAAGCCCACAGATTTTAAGCAATGTGAACTACCAAAAGGTATGTCATGTCACCCAAGCTGTGCTGTACTGTTTCTTTTTCAAAAAAGAACAGAGGGCATCTACCAGAATTAAGTCTCTATACCCTGCAAAATGCTGTTTATTTTGGAGGGCACGGTACTCAGGTGCTCACTGTTATGAAAGGCAACTTAAGCCTAAAACCAATGCTCTAATTCGGTATGATGATTACAGGGTAAGGCAGCTCCCTCAGAACAGCCTAAACATCTGCAGTCCTGTGGCCGTTCTGTGATGAACTCTTGTCAGTGTGCATGTTTCTGTCTTGCTCTGCACAGGCTTTAGCCAGGCTACTGCTTGCACTTCTGAACTCCTACAGAGCTCTGTGCTATGGCAACTACTCACGAGGAGCCTCCAACTCAGGACAGTTTAAAGATGCCTTTGGTTTGCATAAGCTGCAGTTCTACCAGTAGATCTAGACAAAACCTGTACCACAGAGCCAGCGCCTTTGCCACAGCCTGCATAGCCAACGTAGTGCTTTGCCTCTGAAACACTGTCACGAGGGACTTTTTCTTCAGTGCATCAGCAATCAGAACAGTTTCTTCTCAGTTGTATGATTTTTTTCCTGAAATCACAGTCATAATAAAGTTCCCACTTTGAAGGTCCTACATCTGCATGGTTGAATCTGGATTATCATGGTGGAGAACAAGGAATAATTCATGAAAATAACCCAGATCTATACGTTTCCCTACAGGGTGTTGAATGCTAAGTATGCCTGATCTGAAAACATCCACAGATCTTGAATTAAGTCATGGTATACTTCATGGAAAGAAGCCACCAATATCTTAATAATGAAAAATCATAGTTTATACTTCAGTGGCTATTTCCTATCAAGTCGAGTACATGTCTACACACATAGTAAAATCACTGGCTCTTACACGTTATACTTCATGATGAAGTCACTTATTTTCACTTCTCTCTGTTACCAACTTACTAAAACAATTTCATGTTTCATACCAAGGCAGACAAATTTAAAGTAGAATAATGACTGCATATGCTTATAACTGAACAATATCAAATTGGGAAATTGTATACATATATATGTAACAAATTCATTTCTATTTACATTCCTACTTGGTTGTCTTTATACATCTAGATACATACAAAAACGTGTAAGAATGCTAAAACAATGTTATTACTTCAGTTGCAAAAAGTAGGACCACCAGATTCAAGGGTGCCATTCCACTTTAATACTGCCTGATTGCCCATCTCTGCTATACACTGAATGAGTTTTATCTTGGGAGGAAAAAGCATCTTAGATGACACAATTCAAAACTATGATCATGCATATGTATTAAGTCTCATAATTCCTACATTAAGTCAAGTGGGTTTGATACAAAAATGGGGATCTAAGGTAATACATGCAATGCAAGTAACTTACTGCAAAAATAAACCTCTAATGCTTGGAATATATTTTACTTGCATTATAATGTTTTATATTCTCTAGTTCCCATGTAGCAGTCCCCTTTTAATCCTAAATATATTTTTAAAAAATAAAATAGAGAAGGCACACAGCCCCAGACAGCAGTGACTTTGACCATTTGATTGATAAAAAGAGACTGTGTTTAACAAAACAATTCAGGAGGAAATATAGAGTATGTTCAAAAGGTCAGAAGCAAATCATGGTGGACAGTGAGCAGAGCGAACGAACAAAGCAAAGTTCCATGTAACTGCAGTATAGAGAACAGCAAAGGGCAAGATGAAAAAGGGGAACTGCATTTTATAACTGGCTGACTGAATTGTTCAGCTTCAGTTCTGACCCAAAGACTACTTAATGCTCTCTGTATGGCAGACCTCCATTGATTTCAGAGGATTTAGAATCAGGCACTGTATTAGTGCTGCTGCTCAGTTCAAACATGTGAATGAACCAAACAAATGGTGTTAAAAATAACGCTTACACCTTCAATTGGGTCTCTTTGGGCTTAACTGAAGGCTGCTCACTCAAAGTAAGGCTGTAACTTGCAAATAGAAGGACTTTAGCCTAAGGACTTTATTAAAAGTTGTTAAGGTTTCTTTAAAGGCAACCCTGTAAGTCTCTCACTGGCTCCTCCCTTCACTATCCTGTGTTTGTATCACAGGGCGGGTGGCACCAAAGGTGAGAACTTCTCTAAAGGTGAACCACTGCATGATGCAGCTTTCACACCAAGCAGAATTATTTGTTTCATAAAATATTGTGCAAAAGGAGCTATATTTCCTCAAAGAAAAGAGCCATTCCTGAATTCCAGAAGAGTTTTATTTAGGGAATACTGTGGCCCATTCAAACTTCAGTTCACTCACATAGCTTGCACTCTCCACAGTTCCATCTGACTGTCCAAAATCTCTGCACCTGCAATGGGCTGCTTTTGTTTCTTGTGTAGCCGTAGCCTATCAAATATTAAATCACTCAGCAAGTTTTTTTATCCCCTTCCTTCTACTCCCACAGAACTCCCTGGACCCCTAGCACCCCACTGCTCTGCAATGGAAATCCAACTTCTGCTCAGCTCTGGCAGTAACCAACTCATATTACATGTTTTCAAGCATCACTTTCATTCATCCTCTCCAGCCATTATTCCCCATTCTCATGTACATTCAGCTTTCCTATTATTGGCATGGTTACACTATGCAAGATTGAGTGGGAAGAGTCTTCGAGTCCCCCAAACAGGTGTACATAGCACTGAACACCTGAGGAAAGTGGTCAAAAAAATCATGTGCATCACTGGCATACTGCAGAGTTAACTTTCTTTCATGTTAAGGTGATGATTCATCTAACCTACCTTAAAGAGAAACAGAGACCTCCAAAGGGCAAATCCTCTACGCGGTCTTACAGGATGAACTACCCTCTGCAGGTGCCTGTTTCTCTGCATTGGCACTAAAGGGAGCCTTGGGTGAGCAGCTCCGGTTGAGATGGCTAACTTTTGGAGGCCAAATCAGGGCAGATGAATCCCATTTTAGCTGTGCTTGATTTGTGGATTACTTCCTGAAGTTGCTGCTGGAGAATCAAAGGCTAAAATAATCAATACAAGTAGCACAAATTTCTCTAGCTAACTGAATTTTGAGAAATCAAAATGAGCAGAACCTGTTATTAAATCAGCAGCTCCTTTAATACCACCGAGTTCTTTACTACCAACAAAAGGAAAAGCCATCTTTGAAAATAATTTGCTGCTAGCCAGAAAGCTTATACAAAAGTACTCAAAAAAATTGACAGTCATTGGGATTTTATTTCACTTTTGCTCTTGAAGAGGTATTGTGCCTCTGTGTGTTTCTCCAAGTGTCTTGGCAACCTTCGCAAATCTGACTCTTCACCTATTAGTGAAATCATCCTTAGCCTGGTAATAAAAGGAAAGTCTTTGTCAGATCTTTGTTGGGCTTCCAGCTCCCTACTAGCAGAAGGGAGTATATAGCAATAGCAGGCAAATTTCCACTAAGAGCAACCTGACTGTAAAAATGAAGCCAATAAGTCTATAAGTAATTTGAAAACCTCACCAGTGAACCCATTCATTCTTAATTTATCACAGCACAAAAATCTTCTGTTTCTGGTTTTATTTTTCCTAAGGTCAATCTGGCCTCCTAATCTATTTTACTTTTTTCCACTTCAGCTCCTGCTCAGGTCGGTCTCAGGCGTGTCCTAGGATTTTCTCAGGCTGCATGCTGAATTGCTGTGTGACTACTGCTTGAACTATATTTTCACAGAAATTATTAAATGTTTCATGTGTTATTCTGCAGTCTGCCTCTGTGCTAACATTTTCTTGTCTTACTGCTACAATCTCAGTGTGGCCTTTCTGCTTTGATGGGCTCCTCCAGCATGCACCATAACTAGTGGATAAGCAATTGCAGAATTCAGTCCTGCAATGTGCCAATCTTTTCTCTGATTTATGCTACATTGTTGGTCTTTTTTTTAAATTTATTTTATGGAGGAGAACAGACATCATTCTGAGGGTGACATTAATTTTGAGTTAGTCCAATTTTGAATTTTTTTACTGTGTATGCCTAAATATTTCAGGTTGCATTTAGAGCTGGTGTAAATTGTAGCTTGTCCATTGGAATCCCTATGGTTGGACAAATCCATCCTAGCTCAGAATCCAACCCATCACCTTTTCATTTCTCTTTTTTTTTCTCTAAAACATTTCAAGATCCATTTTGTTGTGCCATTCATGAAAAAAAAGAATAGATCCTGCCATACGTAGGTAACAGAACTGATAATATTTTGAGCATTTTTTTTAATGGACATGAACTCAACTTTTATTCATAAACTCATTAAGGGTGAAATCTGCTTTGTAGGTAGGGTCAGATCTAAATATTTATACGATGTAAATTTTCTTCTGAATCTCCAAACCAGGACCAAACCAGTACTGAAACACTGTCTAAGTTATGATTAGCCTCTGCATTTATTTTATTGGAAGGACAACTCATACTAGTAGTGAACAAGAATGGAAGGAAAGTTTGAAAGACAAAGCAAAGTATTAGGTCATTGAATCACAGGGAAATCAGAACCACATCTGAGCCAGAACAAAAATGTAAAGCTGCTGTAATAAATCTTTGGGTCACTTCTATTTAGGCTTTTTTAACTGGGCATAGAGACATGAAAGTAGGACCACATACACAACCTGCAAGTCCACATTGATTGTTTTATTTATCGCTGATACACCAGGAATGGGTTAGGACTGGTATGCTATTAGGCTAAGCATTAAGATGCCTGCCAGCCCCCATAATAGCCAAGCAATTATGAATGAGGTGGGAGAAACATTAACTTCTGTTGCTCCTTGGAAAAGGCTGGTCCTCTCTCTTGATGAACTGTTTGTTGTCCTCCTCCTCTCTGCTCCCTCATGCTATCATGTCAGCACCTATTTTTTAACCTTTGATGACTTTGATGAGTTAAACCATTACTGACTACAATCAAGTCACCTCTTTGTTTCCACTCTCCCATCTTGCACAGCATGTATCTTGCTGTCATGCTATGGTAAGAGTGACAGCTACAACTTACAACTGACTTACTCGCATAAAGCTGGGCCACACAGTAATACAAACATAGGAAGAAATCTACAGCATTTCAGTATCAGCTATGTATTATATAAGCTGTATATAAGCATTGTAAGGTCACTTTCATGATAGTAGGTGTGGAAGTTCTGCATACTCAGAGCGATTAAAAATTAGGGATTTTAAGGTAACCAAAACCATAGTGAAAATCTCCTGTTACTGAGAAAATAACTGAAGAATACAACATTGTGGAGGCTACTATTTGCTTTAAAGATCCATATTCTATTGGTATTGTCCTTGAGACCACTCCAGTGACTGCTCCACCCTGAAAGCTTCCATTTCGTCAGAGAAAGGTTCTGTGGCAACTAAATTGACTCAGAATTACATTCCTCCTGAGGCAAAGAACACAGAACAAAGCTCATTTGTTTTTTAACCCTTCAGAAGATCACTTAGGTGGTTGCTGATCTGCACACAAGTTTCTGTTGAATTTCTATTGGGGTTGACCTCCATTGACAGCAAGAAGCTAAAGAATTTGGTGTAAAGCTAAGCACCCAGTGAGCTATCATGCAGCTCACAAAGAGAAAAAGATAGGCCATAGCTAATATGAAAATCAAGGTTTAGGTATTTTTCCCTCATGGTCTATAGGATCTCATTGGGTCCTCTTTCCAGCTGGGTAAAGAGGACAGTTCCAGAGACAGTTCTTTCTTGATAGGCCATCCCCAGGCTGTAAAAAATGGAGCCAAGTTCTTGTTCACCTGCTGAGAAAACTTCTGTGCCCACAAGTTCATCTTAGAAGGGTTGTCTTTTGGGGTGGTGGACATTTTCTGGTAATCAGAGAAGAGGTGGATGAAGGGGTCCCAACCAAACCCTTCCTGCAACTGATGGAGAAGAATATAGTGTAAAAACAATGAAGTTCTCATTTCACTGGCATTATTCCTGTGTTACAAGCAATAGAAAATTCCATAGGTTTCTGCAGTGTCTTTTAGAATGAATGTCAAGTTAGATGAAGGCATCCAACTTTCAGGCTTCAAAGCATAACTTACAGCACTAGAGTACAGAAAAATACACCTTCCCATTACACTGGCCTTCTAAAACAGAGATGAAAGATGCATTGGGAGCAGCCAGAAATATCAGCAAACTACTACACAAGCTGCTGCTTTGGGCAGAGGAAAGCTTCTTGTGCAGTGAAAAAGCATCAAAGAGGACACTGATAGAAAACCTAGACAGAAAGAGGGCAGGAGAACAAGGAGTAATCAGAAAACAGGAAGGAGAGATTGTGAGCAGGGCATGCTTTGGCTAGGAATAAGAACAAAAGGGATTCGGATAGAAAAACTGCTGTTGCATGAGTAATGAGTTTAAAGAGGGATGGAAAACCTACATAGTTGCTCAAGATGAGGTTAATATGAAGAGCTGACTTGGAACAGCATGACAGGATGCAGAATGTCTACTCAATGTCCACAGCTCTATACCAAGCCATGACCTGCATCTCACTTTCTGATACTAAACAGATTGACACTAAATTGCATCCCACAAATCCTCCATCATGCTGGAACAGCTAAGCAGGAGACAGCACTTCTACATTAGACAGAACAAACAGGCATGTTATCTACCTTCGATAATCCCCTATTGATATGGAAACTCTGGAGCTGAAACTAGCTACAGACTAGGCAGTATCTTTTTGTGAGAAGGCTGGAGAGCCATGAGGAGGCTGAGTGGAAGATGAAGAGGTCTGCTCTTGTGCCAGGTCAAAAGCAGTAAGCCAGTTTATACCCGAGGAGGCTCCACACCATGTTAGGTTATGTCTGAACTGTAGAATGCAGGAGCATCTCCCGGACCCTGAGTTCAAGTATCCATCCCAGACGCTTCCCAACTCCTTGTCACAACATGTCTACAGTGAAAACTGTCTGTTTCCTTTACAATGACACTTTACAATGCCAAGGCTTCTTTTGTCAACTAGCCCAATGTCCCACAGGAAATCTGCAGCAGATTAAAGAGCTGTGCCCAAGTTTGATCATCCTTTTCCCATGCTGTATAACAAGAAGCAGTTCCTGTTTCTCTTCTAGGGAGAAAGATTAGTATATTGCACTAAGCTCTCTCCCCGAGTGGCTAAACCCAAGTTTGGCAAAGGAAGGTTTTCAGGAGACATCAGCATTAGACACTCTGTCTGTACACCCCTCAGGTGCTTTCTGGACCGAAGATGAATCCAAATTGTAAGCAAACACTTACAAAGCATGACAGCTAGAGTCACCAAGCTGCAGACATCCTTCTGACACAGGCTTCACTGACTGCACTAATACACCCGCTTTTCTCAGTTACCTGCAGGTATGTCTCCAGAGCAGTCCACACCACCCAGTCCTTTAGTTGAGCGCCTTTCTTCAGATACTCTCTTATCCTTTCTGCCCGACACTGTGACCTAAGTGCCTGATGGGCCTGATGCCTGGGGATCCCCAGCACATTCTCATGAACATAGACAGACCAGAGGTTGCAGGTGGCCTCTGTGGTATGAGGGGGAAACTCCCATGCTTGCTGCTGTTGATTGTGTCCCAGCTCATGGACAGGACCCCAAAGACCAGTAGTTTGCATGTGCTTCATGTCTAACATCTCCTTCACTGAATCTAGGTGGCCCATGATGGGATAGCCAGCATGCATCCAGCCTGCAGGAAAGACAGGTACCAACGCACATCGTAAGTATTCAACCCAGTGCATTTTAGACATAAATGACTGTATTTTTTTTCATTTCTTTAGTGCCTTTCCTCCATCTCAGAAGCCACATTGTATTACCATGAATGACAAATTTTTCCCTTTGTGAGATAAGGAAATACTGTAAGTTTCACCCTAACAAATAGTCAAATAAGCAGCGTAAAGGTAGTACTGAACTATCAGTCAAGCACACTTTTGACTGCTTTCCCTTTTTATACATAGCATACACTCACGGTTGGACTGAGGTTGAGATTTTAGGATGAGGGAAAAAGCCTGACTATTGCCCAGAATACACCTGAATTCTCACAAACTGAGCACAGTTGATGCTAACCCAACCATGCAACAATGTGATTCAGCACCCTGGCAGAGCTTGAGCCTCATAGGTAGAGTGTGGATACTGCAGGTCTGCACTCCAGTGGTCAGCAGTGTGGATGAGACACATGGAAGTCATAGATTGTCATGCTTAAGGGCTGCAAAACTTGTCGTGCTTAAGCCTGTTCTTAAACTCACAGGATACCTATTCTATAAACAACTTCCCAGCATCACGCTAGGCAAGAATATTGCACTGCAAGGGATTTTACTTATGCCTACTTGGTGTCTCCATCCCTAATTTGTCCTTCTTCTTGAAGACTCCCAAAACTTCATACAAGAGTCACGTCCCTGAACTCAAACAGCTATTGTAGCAGGGGATAAGCAGCCCTTTACACTCACTACAAAGGGAGCCTACACAGCTGGCTTTGACTGAACACTAAGCTTGTAGACTACCCAAGTTGGGGAACATGAATGGCAACTCCCTTCCTGCAGGAACTATTTAAGATCTTGAGCTCCCTCTTTTTTAATAAGAGGGATACATGCATTTAGCAGCCACTGGCACCCAAAAAGTTCACGTCCAGAAATGTGAGTGAAACCATTTAGTCCACCCAAAACAGAAGGGAATTTTATGTCTGCAGATTATGATCTTTTTAACTGGCATTTGCTCAGGATAGCAGAACTTAACACTCCCAAGATGTGCAACAAATTCTTTCCATGTGGCTTAGCAAAGGGTTAGGACATCAGGGTTTATGCTAAGCCCTTGTCTCATTGTGGGATAAAGAATTTAACCAGTCTATTTTGAAAAACAGCTGAACAAAACTTGTATTGCAAAGTTCCACATTTACCATATAGTTTGACTCTAGATCAAATGCACTCAGTTCACAACTGGAAAAGTGGAGGTGGGGAAGCATCAGCTGCAAAACTACACACTCGTGAGCTTCGACAGTGATAACAGTTCTACTTCTCCATTGCTATCATCTCAGACACACAACTTTTCAGGCTAAGCTTTGCCCACAATAACCTTTGTGGAGCCCATCTCCAGCAGGTGGGTACACACAGGTTTAACAATTGTCACTGAATGCATGAGAACAGTCCTGTGGCTGAGGCAGGAAAAAAGTAGAAATCAGGTCGCTCTCTCCCAGCTGTACTGGCTCTGCAGTGCATTCAGGAGGGAGAATGAGTAACTACATGAGTCAAAGCCACTGCAGTCAGCAGCTCTGCCTCTCAACAAACCCAGGCAGAAGAACAGCTGAGTGAGACAACACCAGTTTTGAGGTGAGGGAGGCATCTGAAAGGGTCAATACGTTTTTTTAAGCCCTTCCTTACCACATTTCTGTCCTGATGGAGTAGCTCACAATTATGCAAGGGTTGTAGTCATTTAACACCTTACACATGTTCCCAGTCTGGTTTTAGCAAAATAACCTTGAAGAAATAGACATTGCTGCTAGAGGCCACTTATCTCTTAGTGCTTGACAAGGCCATATGGCAATGTACCTACCATATGAGATCTGGACATCTGTTACAATCCTCTCTGGCCTTGGGAATTTTGTTGGTATGGCTGCCAATTTGCTTATTGCCACCATGATCTCATTCCACAGGGTCAGCAGCGGCTGTGGGTTCTCCATGTGACGGATGCTGTCAGACGGCACTGTCAGGATGAGATTCTCAACAGCCAGTTCTGCCCAGGGTGCAGGGTAGTGCCGGATACAGGCCTTCCACTGGCTTTCACAGGTCTCCCCTACATCAACAACACAGAAGATCGGTTAGGCACAGCTCTGACTTTTGAGCATGCTCCCAGAGGTCAAGCTGGAGAAAGAGACCACAGTCATGAAATTCTCTTGGAAAACAGTATGTGTGGTAGTTGTATGACTGGGGGCGGTGGCTGTTAACTAGTTAAGCCTCATCCTGCACTTGGGAAGTCTCCTCAGGCTCTTTAATGGATGGGAAACAGACAGAAAAGGACTGGCATATACCAGAGTTGTAGCATAGCAAGAACAGATCCCTGTTTTCCATCTGAGAACAAGAAGCATCAGGTCTCTCCAGTGTCTCTTGACGGTCTCATTTCTTCTTCTCCAGTGGACATGTGCTGTTTTGTGTAACAACCCTAGTTTTGTTTAGTTTGACAGAAGAGCAAAAAGAAATTGCATACAGGAAGAGAAGAGAAACTGACAGAAACATGGAAAATTCAGCAGATATTTACTGTAGGGACTGGAGATGGCCATATGGGGACACAGTAAAGCAAGCAGAGAGCAGGGCAACCTTTGTCGTGGCAGAGGTCACTCTGTCTCCCTCCAACACAATGGATTCCATCAGAAATGACAACTCCAACCTCCAAGAAATGTTGGTTTGGACAAACCCTGCCCATTTTGTGACAGGTCCTTCACCTACCTCCTGTCACGTAGCAAGCACAGAGTGACTAAGTGACTTACTTACCCAGAATCCCAGAGGACAACAAAACAAGGAAACTAAATCTGGGTATTCCTAAACCCAGGCATTTCTAAGACGTTCCTAAGCACAGGACCATCTTTCCTTTCAGTCACAGGGATAGCAGCATCTGTGAGCCACAGTAAGGAGAAAGGCACCAAGATAAACAAACCTACCAAGCCTGAAGAAAGGAGCTCTGACTGCCCCTTCCACCGTGATGGGCACTTTCCCCAGGACACTCTTTGCTGGTACTACGACATAAATAAGGCCACCCCAGAGGCAGGAAACAGACTGTTTCTGACAGGCGATATCACAGGTACGTATTACCACCGGGGCCCGTTTCAGCTCTGTGGCGTGAGAGAGGTCATCCGTGTGACACCCAATCTGCACCTGGCAAACAGAAGGGTAGGAACAGCTGGTCAAAGGGCTCCAAGTGTGACGTGGAAGACCTACCACAACACCCTGAGCTGTCTGCTGCAGCACTGTCCCTGCAGGGCACGCACACAGAAGCAGCCTTCTGACTCCAGCCTAGTTCAAGTTTTCAGCCTGTGATGACCAGAAGCAGTAAATACAGTGAAAAAAGCTGGCGAAGTTCAGTGCTATCCCTGTTTCAGACAGTCTAACAGCTATACTCTCATTCAGCTACATCCTTCATCAGCAGTTCAGGGTACTGCAGTGACTTTTTCACTGCACTGTACTTGCATTGATCATTCCTTCACCCTCACCAGCATCAAAGCCACATCCTATAACATATAAGCTGGAGAGATGTGATCACTTCTGGCTCCTTTTATTGTGCCTCTTCCTTGGTCCTCATACAGTAAAACAGACAGCATGTGGCTGCAGGATCAGACAGAAACACCTGAGTTAACTTTACATTTCAGCTGCAGGGAGCTCACTGCAAAAAACATCCAAGCAGGTAAGCATTCATTTGCTTTGTACTTTGCAGACAACAGGATCCCAAGTAACTAGTTTACAACTGATCTGGGTACATCTACATGAGCAATAGTGACAGTGCTGTGAAAGTACCTTATGAGAGATCTGGAGAAACAGAACCAAGTTTGGTGCATAGAAGGGTCCAAGTACTTATCTTGGGCCTGAAAATCACCTTGATCAGTTCTCTTTGCACGATAACAAAACAAATACAGCTGCCTTCAGGCAGCAGCAACACTCAGTTATCCCGCTAGCACACAGAAATACGAGGAATGCAACAGAAGAGAGTGGGAGACAAGGCGAAAAATTATGACAATGCTTTGAAAGTGCCACAGGGTGGCAGCAGTAGGAAAGGACTGAAAAGGCAGCAAAACCAGTAAGGAGAAAACCCTTCTCCGTGCTATTTTTGAGTGCTGATCTGACAAATATATCGGTGTAAACAGAAGCCAAACTAGAGACAGCTTACCTTCAGACCAGCACTGACCACCAGGCAAGGGAATGTTATAACTGCTGTGTGGCCTTCAGGGAGGTAGAGTCCTGTACTCCTCCAGGCTGTCTTACCTAAAAGGTAAGAGAACAGAGTCCTAAACAGTCAAGCACTTCTTTGGCCTGATGTTACAGATTCTGGAAATTTCAAGCTGCAACAGAAGAATCTTCCATCCTTTTCTTTTCCCTTGCTCTACACACACAGAACTGTCTCACGTTTTACCCAACCTGTCAGAAATGCAGTTTTAAAGCAATGGGGTAGCAGCGTGAACAAGATCATCATACCATTAGCAAGCAAGCAACTCCACTCAAATTTGAACTTCTGGAAATGCCAAGCTTAAATGTGTTTACTAGTATCTTTTAAAAATAATAAGAAAAAAAAGAAACCAAAACCTCAACACCTCCTCCACTCGGATCCTCTTACCCTAAAGTCCTCATAAGAGGTGGATACTGTGGTGGTATTAAACACAGTTGAAGTTGTAATGGTCATAAAACATGTCCTAAATAACAGCCTGACAGTGACGTCACATTTTACCTTACTGACTGGTCCAGCACAAGCTGGGGCCCACAGGAATTCCCACTTCTAGCTGACTGAAGTTACAGGAAAGCCCATGTTCAGACGTACGCAGACACATGCACACCGAGGACAGGCGCCCCGCCGACCCAGCGACAGGATGCCTCAAGAGGAAGGGAGATACACTCCTCACCTGGGTTTGTGCCATCAATTTCCACAGTGATGGGGGGGGCACAGACCCCAGCGGCAGACTTCTGCACTAGGGCTGCACTGTCCGTCATGGTGAGGGACAGCTCGGTCGCCATGCAGAGAAGGACTGCCTCTTTGGAGTTGCTCTTGACAGGGCAGTGCCCGCTGACCTGCGGGATCCCACTTCTCTGAAGCACTTTGGTCAGGATGCGGTGGAGCGAGGCATACGCCGGGCAGTCGTGGGCCGGGATGTGCAGAAAGGCAGCGCAGTCTTGCGCTAGCCTTCGCAGCCAGTCCTTCAAGGGGCCCTTGAGCTCCTCACGCTTGTCTACGTGCCCGTTGAAAAGAGCGAGCGCCCTGCGGAAGTGGTAGTGCTCCTCTGACCCCACGGCCGGGAGCTTCGCTGCCTGGACGCTCTGCCCCAGGATGCTCAGCCCAAAGCGGTTCAGGATTTTGTTGCCAGGATATTGTGCCACAGCAGCTTTGCCGTGGTTCTGGGAAGCCCAGTACCAGGCCTGGCCCCCAATCAGTAGGCCGCCTCCCTCCGCCACGAAAGCGTGAACCCTCTCGGCCTCTCTGTCGCTGTACGAAGAGCAGCAGTAGACGCTGATGTCGCCCGTCAGCTGCGACACCTGCGACTTCACCTCTTCCCGAGAGAGGAGGCTACACAGCTTCTTCAGGCTGGCATCCACACCCACCAGCCCCTTTCTCCCAGCATCCAGCCAGCGGACAGCATTGAGCAGGAATCTGGCCAGCTTTGGGGAGAACAGCTGGCTCTCGTGGGTGGCCACCACGACACGGCCTTGGCCGTAGCGTGCCGCAGCTAAGAGGCAGCGGTGCGAGCTGTCCAGGCAGAGCGGGAAGGAGAGTACACCGTGCACCAGCAAGATGGAGGGCGCGCCCCCCGTCACCAAATCCAGCTCCGACACACCACGCAGGAGACACTCAGCATCAAGGCTGAGGTTGGCCTGGTGCCTGCAGAACCAAGAGAGGTCCAGGTCAGCCTCCGTCCCAGATCCTTTGCACAAAAGGCCACCTTGTCCACCCCTGCCTCTCTTCTTCCTCCCTCATCCTACTACATCACGTTGTCAGTTCTTTCATTTAAAAAAAATAAAAATCCACCAATACCTCATTTTGCTCCTTTTAAAGCCTCAGTTTTTGCAGCCAAGCAAATCTGTAAGAATTTCAGCACTCATTTAAAAAAAGGAGAGAAAGAAGAGGTCAAAAGGAAGTTTCTAGGCCTCTGACTTTGAAGAGCAGCTAGAAAATCTAAATACATTGCAGAAACTCAAAAATCAGATGATCTTTCGTACTTTTTAAACTGCAGGTTTAAACTGCAGATGATGTGGGCATTGGCACATCTCCTGTAACAGAAACTTTTCTCCATTTACCCCACCTGAGTCATTATCAACTAGGAAAGCCCAAAAGATTTCTCTGTGTCTTCTCTCCCAGCCTCTGCCACTGCTGAGAACTGAAGGAAGGATAGCTAGGCCAGGTGGGCTAGATGGACAGGCAGACGCACAGCTAGACAAATGAGGACTGACTTGAAGTTAAATCAAGGCCCTAACACATAGTCCTCACATTACCACTAGTTGGTCACCACAATATAAAGAGATTATACTGCGCAAGGCCCTCTTATCTCTGCTATTTCCATATAACTCCTGTATGTCACTGTGGAGAAAGACACGTTGAATTACTCTCATTTGCCTTTTTGACACTTTCTCCTGGTTCTGCCAAACACAGTTTTCCCCCAACACCTGGAAAGAATCTGTTGTTATGTGGCCATTGCAGCCAACTCAAGAAGAAATGATGCTGCCCTTCTGCACGCCCATAGGACAGGAATGAAATCTGCAGCTCTTCTTTGGTTATTACCTCACTGAGACCCTTTGTCACACAGAGTATATGCCAGGCATATGGCACAGCACCTGCCCTGGACTGCAGTCTAATTCTCTGTGGGTTAAACAAAGCCAGCAGGAAGGACCAGATGCATGGAGCTGATCTGTTGCACAGAAATTAGGTACCTAAATTTCTCTGTGGCTCTGGATCCAATCAAAACCAGCACAAAAGCACCCTAAACAAGGTGTCATTCACCGTTAGTTACCATTTAAATTCTTGATAATTGCTATGTAATTTTTCTCTGCTGAATTCTCCCCCCCCCTCTTCCATGCACTGTGCATGAGGCAGTGGGAACATGCCTGCGCAATGCAGGTGGGAACAGTAATCAATCGGCAAATTTTAATTAAGTAACTTCATTTGTTAGCTGTGTCCTAAGCAATTCACTGAATTCAACAGCAGAGCTTTCTACTACCTTTATTGAAAAACAAATTAAACATCCAGAAAGTATCAAATCCAATTATTTGTTTGAAAATATTAGAAATTTAGTATTGTATATCCACAAGGAAAAGACTGCAAGGAAAAGACTTGCAGGGAATTTTATTGTAATTGTTGCAGCTTTCACTGCAGTGAAATGAAGCTGCCACACAGAGGAAGCGCAGCAGCACTCATGCTCCTCAGAGAACCCATTTCGCCCTGTGTAACTCAGCAGAGAGTGGCCGGAGGCACAGCCTGGCACACCCACTGGCAAGGGGAGGTAGAGAAAGACAGCAGAGCAATGCCCAGGACTCCACTGCCTGGTCGGCTGTGAGATACGAGCCACAACAGCCCTGAGTTTTACACCTGCGGCTCCAGGATCCAAAGGGCCAGGCTGGAATTCCAAACAAACTGGGAGTATGGAGATTTCTTGCCCACAGCCTGTGTCAGAAGCTGAGAAGGGAGCTGGCACCCAGCCCGCCTCCTCAGCTCTGCACCAGCCCCGGGGTTTCACTTGCAGAAGATGAGTTTCTGCAGGTAACAGGCCAAACAGGTTTAGCAGCTGCCAGCCACAGCCTGGCCCAGAGGGCTGGCCTGATGCTCCATCTCCAGCCTGGTTTTGAACTGTGGGAAGGTTGTTCTGAATGTGCACACGTGTGAGGAGAGAGAGAGGAGTTCCTCCTCCTGTCCCCATGTTGCTGTGTGTTGCGCTCAGGCACACTTGGTCAGGCAGACTGCTCTAAAAGATGGCTCCCCTCATTTCCTTCCCCTTGAATGAATTCCCCGGGCCTGGCCCAGCTGCCCTGGAAGCAATCAAAGACACCATTCTTTCTGACTGCAAACAGCACGAAGGTCCCCCTTGAATTGGAAGACAATTGCATCCCATCCTGGCTATTAAAGAACCAGCATTCACCATCATCCTCATCTCTAACCTCACGACTCTTCTATAAACACCTCACCTGCACAGCCTGATCAGTTGTTTAAATAGAGAGCAACTGAGATACTCACGGGACAATTAATGGGATCTTAGGAATTTTCTTGGAGACTTTGAAGATGCCTTTCTCCACTGCGTTTCCTGTGAAGTACACGCCAGCCACGCTGGTCACCTGGTTCCCAGGGAATTCAAACAGCACCTTCTCCTTGCCATGTTGACTAGCCCAGTACCAGGCTTGGCCTCCAATGAGCAGCCCTCCACCCCCCTTTACAAAGCCAACCAGGTCTTTCGCCTGTGTGCTGTCATAGGCGTCCATACAGTACACCCCCAGGGAGCAGCTGAGCTCTGCCCCAGCCTGTACTTTGGTGCCAGCCTGGAGCAGCAGCTGGGAGAGGGAATCCAAATGAGGATGGACCCCAACCAGGGCCTCGGGCGAGGGCTTGAGCCACTCCACAGCATTTCTGAGGAACTGGGAAAAGTTGGAGTCCTTCAAGATTCCTTCATGGGAAACAACGACCATCCGGCCCTTCCCATACTGTGAAACGGCAATCAGAACCTGCTTCTTAGAGCTCACAAGTATAGGGTAGGCATCCTCTCCAACAAGTAGCAGCTCACAAGGAACAAAACTGCCAGTGAAGTCCCATGGCCCAATACCGTCCACTAACAGCTCATAGGTGGCAGAGGGTTTCATCTTCAGGTCACTCCTATCTGGTGGAGAGAAGACCAACATTCATTACAGTATGGCTCAGCTATAAAGAACAGCTATAACAACCCTGTGGAGTAATTTCTTTGTTGTCTAGTAGGAGTTCCAAACAAATGGGAATAATTTATGGGAAGCAGCTTTGTGGACACAACTTTTTCAGGGATTTGGGATTTTTTTGTTGTTTGCTTGTTTGGCTTTGTTATCACACTATTTACCATTTAAACAGAAGTGGCAAGTATACCAAGATGATGGAGGAAAATAAAGTGACTGTTTCAACAAATTCTGTTTTGCATCATAGAGGAGAACATGGATATAGAAGTATTCACTTTCTCATTAACAATTTATTTGGGGAGGGAGAGTGCCAGAGGCTCCAGGAAGTCTACTAGGAACTTGCCTGGGAGAGGTTTACATGGAAATAGCCAGAAAATGAAAAGACGTCATCAACACAGCACACGGCATAATTCAAACATGCAGTTCACATTTTAGTTCCTAATTGGGTATGTACAGAGCTACACACAGTTGCTGCAAGATGGTATTCCAAAGTTGTACTCTTCTACCTCTGTTTAGGCACTATAAGTCCTTGCTTAGTATTAAGAGGTGCTGTGGGGGGGAGAAGTGTCAGCCAAAATGATGGAGACAACCAGCTCCCCTGGAATAACTGTCAAAGTCACACAGTACCTAGGAGAGCAGGTCTGGGCACAGGAGATTCATGCCCTAGTTCCCTGATCCAAACTGCCGTGTGATCTCCAGGAAATCATTTCCCTTTTCTGTAGCTTTGTTTCACCTGTTTTCCCATCTACAAAGTAAAGAGAGTGGTACTGACCTAGATTGCCAAGCCCTTTGAGGTCAATGGGTGACACGTGCTGTATTTAGGCTCCTTCAGCTTGAAAGTTTGGCTTAGCTCTTCACCAAAATTATCTTCTGCCGAGCTGGGGCGGCTGTGACTGCACAAACAGTAAGGTTGTAAGGTTTTGAGGTAGAGAATTATGACCCAGTCCCACCCAGTTCCTGTCATTCAGGATTCACAAGGCTGACTTGGAGCACTATGCCTACGGCAAGGGAAGAAGCTGCTCCGGGGCGGGCCTGGCCCTTCCCTGGCAGCATCCCGTGCCAACACTGCAGCGGTGTTCTCTGGTCTTCACATGCATTTTGTATTTGGCTACCCTGAAAGCAAATCCTTGGCATGCAAACACAGGAAAATGGAGAAATCCTGGAGAAGCAGCATCCTTGATTTGGGTTTGTCACAAGCCCCAGGGTGCTCAGAAACAGCAACCTGATCAAGGACGACAGTATCACTCCCATTGCTTATCCTCTGGACATGCCTGGAAGATCCTGTTTTTCACCCAAACTCTCATGGGACCCCACTGTTGTTCTACATACAATTTATGAGTCAAAGCTGCTGATTAACATAGAATAAAAACTACATTGCCCAGTAATTTAGTGCTTGTTTGCTGGCTTAGTCTGAATTCCAGCTTTGTTTCCCTGGGTTTGAATAAACCCTACATTTAAAGGCAAATACAAGGTCTAAGTGGTTTATGTTGTTTTACCAGGAATTGTGCAACAACGTAGTAACACAGCTTGGGAAAATACTAAAGTTTTTTTCTGGTGGCTTCTGTGGATTTGATACTATTGTACCTGTACTGATACACTGACTGTGGTACAACTTCTATGTAATCACAATTTCTCAGTTTCCATTGTATTAACCATTTCAGTGTGGAGAGAAAGAAGGAAGTATAATCATTAGACCCAGAGCAGAAACAACTAGAGGCCAACTCCTCTTTCTAGAGAGAGAAGGGAGAAGTCACAGCAGGGACAGAAACACCCATGTCTTAACAAGAATTGCAGGAAGCTGCAGAAGATTGAGCTGTATGTCTGTCATGTCAATTAGGAGGAAACAACTACTAGATCTGGGCATACACAGAGGGAAGGGGAAGATCTTGGCTCCTAGCTGCCTCCCATCTTAACATGTAGTGCAAACCCTCCATGACAGTGTCTTGAACGAGTCAAAAACTCTCGATTCCTTGTCCTCCCTCCTGCCCCTTCCACCTCTCACCTCCAGACAGTTCCCACTCCCTGCAGAGCCGAGGATATTGAGAGTAGGTATTGAAGCATACATTTATAAATCCTGCCAGATGACCAATTCTCTTCTAGCCTTTCTTCTGTCTCTGGAAAAGGGACAAAAACGCGATGGGAAGGTATTGAGGCTTCATTAAATGCAGACTTAAGATTCCATCATCTGCTGTCCAGGAGCCATCACGCCCCAGCAAAAGGGATGTACTACAAAGGAAGGAATATCCCTTGGTCCACTCAGGAAGAATATCTCTGGGAGACAGATGACCTAGGGGGGGGCTCTAAGGGCCCTTTCCCTGGCAGCATCCCGTGCTGCCAGAATAAGGGAACAGACTTTATGTGTCAACTGCTCAGTCACTTTGGGGTGAGTCTTTAAGGTCCCTGTAAAGCCTGTGAGGATCTCCATGAGTAAAAAGTATGGGATTGTGCAATATCTGAGAGGAACAGGACAAAAGGCACAGGACAGCCACTGGAGTGGATCACTTCTTAAGAACACAGGCAGCCCAAGTGAGCGAGAGAGACCCAATTCCTAGGGATTTGGCTGCTCTTCCTAAATAGGGGGGACTCTTGGGTTTTCCAGTCTTTCCTCTCTTCAGATTTACAGGCTAGCTGCCTGCACAGCAACCAAGCACCAAGCATGCTGCAAAGAATCAGTGCACTCTTGCTTCTTAACATGTTTATCAACAAACTGAACAAGGAGAGGAATGCTGACATTCAGCATTTGCTGAAGAGACAAAAGTACTTACATTCATTCTATCTGTTCATCACCAACAAGGTTTTGAACTGGAAGAGGGTAGATTTAGATTGGATATAAGAAAGAAATTTTTTATGATGAGGGCGGTGAGACACCAGAATGGGTTACCCAGAGAAGCTGTGGATGCCCCATCAGTGGAATTGTTCAAAGCCAGATTGGACAGGGCTTTGAGTAACCTGACCTACTGCAAGATGTCCCAGCAGGGCGAGAGGGTTAGACTAGGTGATCATTGAAAGGCCCTTCCAACCCAAACCATTCTATGATTATGTGATTCTATGACTCGTGTGCTGTGTAGCACAAATGCAAATTTAACATACATAAACACTGCAAGTGTATGTGAAAGTTCTATGGCATATTCTTCTAAAGAAAGGCAGTGTCTGTACTGCAAGAGTAAGTGGGCTCTAGAGCTGGCTTAAGCATAGAAGCGAGAGCCTGGGCTGATGTTAGGGGAGTGATGTGCTCAGGCTCTGCCCTGCAGGAGCTGAGGAACTCAGTCTTAGCCACTGTGTGCTCACATATGTACAGCATCCAGGGTAACTCTGAAGCTGGACCACTTGAGAATGGGCTCAAATTTGTGTTAACCTGAAGATGGAAATGACGACTCTCAGGACTGAATATCTCAGGTGTGTTCTGCATGCTTCACCACCCTTTTCAACACCTGTGAATGCATAAGCACCATGAAGCCACCAGTGGGGTAGGCTAAAGCAGTAAGAAATGTAAAGATCAAGCAATGTGCAAGAAGGGTGGTGAGATGAAGCAATAAATTCAGGTATAATGGATTGCGTGCAAAAGAGAATACAACACTTAAACTTGGACAACAACCTTTCATAAAGAACTGCTCAAAACTATGGTAAAAGAAGGCACCTACTGGAGATCATAGAATCGTAGAATATCTCAAGTTGGAAGGGACACATAAGGATCATCAAGTCCAAATTCCTACTACTCGCAGGACTACCTAAAACTAAGCCATATGACTAAGAGCGTTGTCCAGATGCTCCTTGAACTCTGACAGGCTTGGTGCCATGACCACTTCCCTGGGGAGGCTGTTCAGTGACCGATCACCCTCTCAGTGAAGAACTTTTTCCTTCTGTCCAAGCTGAACTTCCCCTGACGCAGCTAGAGAAGTGGGATGGAGAGGTGGGAGGCAGCCAAGCAAGAAAGCTTGCATGGAAAAGACAAAGTTAGAAACAAATACATCAAAAAAAGCCTCTCTAATGTTACATAACAAAAGTAAAAAAAAAAAAAAAAGCTAAATACATCAAAGGAAAATAGAGCCAAAGAAGAAGTATACTAGGTTGTAAATTAATGACAACTCTAAAATTAGGTCAAGAAAACAATTACCAAAGGAAGTTACTGTATTGTATTTTTTTTTTACAATTACAGTGTTTAGTTATTAGAAAACAGATTGAAAACCGATAAAAACGATGAAAAAAAAAAATTCTTAGTAAAAGTACAGCAGAATCAACCAGGCAATTGCCATCTGTAATTACTGTTATCGGTGTTATTTTCATATGGCACTTTACAACAGTAGATTACAAAACACTACAATTTCCAAGCCTAGTAAAATGCTGCTGTGTTTTAAGGAAAAAAAACAGGAGTTGCCCATCCTTTCTGGTAGTGTTAACATGCACACTTTAGGGTACAGTCACCGGCTAAAAGGATGCAAAGCAATAGAAAACCTGAGCGTCTACACATACATCTGTCCAGCAATCTTAATTGCTTTTAAAGATAAGGCAAGGAAATAACAAAATGAAAGCAACTGATGACATCTGTCTGGGTATTTTACAATAATTTTGCATTTGGAAAGGTAATTAACATCTTAATTAAAATTAATTTTACTAACTTCCTATGAACTGAAAGCAGGCTGATGGGCTACGATCAGTAAAGACAGGGATATGCTAAATCAGAAGAGACGTCTACACAAAAAAGTGCTGTTCAGTCTTTTTAGAATTCTACATCTGTGATCTAAAAAGGACAGCACATATCACATAAATGAAATTACCAGATAATAGAAAGTAATGTACAGAAGCACAGGAGAAGGAATCGTAACCTTACTAGAAAATAATTTTTAAAAAGTGAGAACTTGCCTAAATGCCAGTCCTACGGCCTGTAGCTTTAGAGAAGTGTTGACATCTGTTGGTGAACAAGGAGCAGAGCAGCTCAGAAATCTCCCGGAACTGCAGATACAGAGCACTTTTCCAATCCCCCGCTGGAGGGGTTGAGTCACATTTGCATGCCTGCTATATAACAGCTCAGATCATTTCCCGTTAAATGTTGCTAGGTTTTAAAGCAGGGGATGAGTGTACCACCACTGTTTTCATTTGAAAAGGAACAGAGAAAAGGTACAATGCTCTTTGCATGTGGGCCATGCCAATTTACTATAGTCTGCAGTGATGTGGTAAAGGATAAGGAAAAACAACAACTGTATCCCTTCTAAACTAAAAGGACAGCACACGACTTGTTTTGCTATATACTGCCGGGGAACAAGGGAAAGCAGGGATACTGGGACAGCTCACTGAAGCTGAAAATGAAGAACAGGCAAGGTGTAACTCAGGTGGTGGGCAGCGGCTGGTATCCTTAATGGCCTATCACAGATATGTCACACTAATGGCGTAGGGTTAGGCTGACGAAGGTTTGTGCCCTACTGTGGACTTCAAGGGTAGCACCACTTATTGCAACAAAAAAAATGTGCAATTCACATAAATGGAACATTGCTTCCTCCTTATCATGCACCATTATATTTTGTAACAAGCAGAAGTATTACAAGCTATGCCTGATCTCTTAAATCATATTCTTTTCCAACTCAGTGTAAGTGTGACACACCAACAGAGGAGCATCTGGGGTTTCTTTTGGATTCTGAGACTAACCAAGCAATTCCTCAGAAGAAATGTACACCAAGTAAAAAAAGTAACAAGTTTACTTAGTTCTTCGTTACTGCAGCTAAATAGATATTTACAATCAATCGATGTTCTGAGGCCTTATTTCAGATAACATGGGTGCACAAATTATCGCTCTCACCCATGTCCTATGAGCTATGCCTCTGATATTCGTTTCCACAGGAATGTCCTCACCACACTCGAGCCACGCTGGG